GTATAATGACCCTGTCTTGCAACAACTACTACATGTGCCTGCAGGTTATGTGTTAATAAACGGGTGCAAGATTTTGCCTTATATAGCTTTATCCTGCACAAGAATAGCATGCCATCAAACGCAGAAATCCTTAGCAAAAAATTCTGGACATAGTATTTCCAGCAAAATCTGTAACTTATCAAGAAGTTCTAAGTACCCCCATGAGGAGCCAATATTACAATGACTTTTAGAACTCCAGTTAGAAGAAATGAACAAGTCATTGATCTTAGGCTACATAAGGAGGGGCCACAGAGAATATGAAACTACAGGGACAAATAATGAACAATTTTCAAAAAAATCCCCTAAGAACAAAGGAAGCATGAGGCCAAATGCTGCAAAACAGGAGTCACACCACAAAATATCTTCTCTCAGCCAACATTAAGAGAGATTTTAAGACAGAGGGGGAAACATGAGAACCACGAAACTGAAAGCAATCAAACAACTGAAATAACAAGCAACAACCAGCAAACTGCTAGGAAAAAAATCAGCTGGAGAAAATTCAAAAAGAGACAGCCTTTCTCCAGGAGCTAGAAGATTTTAGAAATGAGTCTTTTAGATAGTTAAGGAACATAAATTGAATGCCAGAAATCAGTATAAATATATCTTCTTGTTAAACCTGATGGAGTACTCTAAACATTCTTATGCTCATACTTGATCATTTATAATGTGTCCAATATTATGAATATGTGAGGTTTTTAAATGTTTTAAGATGACTTTTCCTACCTTTCAATATAATATGGAAGGGGATAGGAGTGAGTTTTTTTAACCAAAGCTTGACAGACTAAAAGAGAGTTATTATTATCCACTAAGGAACAGTCTCTCAAAGACACAAATAAAAGCAACCTGCACTTTTTTTAAAGAGGAAGGAGCAAAAGGAACAGTGATCAAAGTCAGGAAGGAAGGCTGCATGCTGGCTCTGCATGTTCTCTGCAGAATCTTCAGTAAAACTTCCTGAAACTGGAAAAAAAAAAAAAAAAAAACAGGAAAAAGAAAAAGCTGAATAGGAATCACTGTGTGCATGAATACCAATGTGTGTTTTTTAAAGTAACAGTAAAAACACCACATTTTAGGCTTTCAGAGTCTTGCTCTAACAAAGAAACAGTGCATAATTCCGTAGGACTAAGGAGACTGGGGAAGAAGAGACTCTTAGAAACAGTGGGGAGGACTTTGGGATTTTTCTTTCTTTTAAATTAGTACTATATTTATTCTTTTTCGTTACCTTGTTCTTTTTTAATTTTTATTTTTATTTCAATGGTTTTTGGGGTACAGATGGTTTTTGGTTACATGAGAAAGTTCTCTAGTAGTGACTCCTGAGATTTTAATGCACCTGTCACCCTAGCAGAGTACACTGTTACCCAGCGTCTAGTCTTTTATTCCTCATCCCCCTCCCAATCCTCCCCCTCCCGACTCCCCAAAGTCCATTATATTATTCTCATGTCCTCATAGCTTAGCTCCCACTAAGAAGTGACAGCATACACCATTTGGTTTTCCATTCCTGAGCTGCAAATGGGGTCTTTCAGGGCACCACTAGAGAGGCCAGATAATGACACTTTTCTAGGAATGGGACTTTTAAGGAGCTCTAACTCCATTGAGCCCCCTTCAGTGGCTTCCAGGCTGCTAATTTTCATAATGATTTTCATTTGTTGGCTTTCAAGATTACCACAGAGTTGTGGGTAATAGAAAAGGGGCAAGTTGAAGCACCACAAAACTCACTATTTTTCTTGAATAAACAATCTCAATATTGTTTCAAGCCTTGGGTTGATACCCAGAAAGAAAAAAAAAAAGTTTATTCTGACTATTTTTGACAGTGTTCTCTCTTTCGTGGAGATTTTTGGAGGCCATTATTCTGCTAATGATGCTAATGTGAGATGATGAGATAACATCGTCTCACAATTACCTTTGCCTTATAAATATATAGCATCATGGTTGCAGTGTGAAAGATAATTTGATAGAAGCAAGCCTCAAAACAGGTTCAATCCAAAGAAACCATTGCAACAATCCGGACCAGAAAGGTGGTGACCATAACTGGAGTAGAGATAAGGAAAAAAAAAAAAAAAAAGTGGATGCTCCAGAGAGATATGAAGCCTTTAGGATACATAATTCTTTTGTTATTTATTGGAAGAAAGAGTCAAGGCTCCTGGCTTGGACAACTTGACAGACTATGGCACCACTTACAAAATAGGAAACCCAGGAAGGAAGTGATGAGCAGCCAGTAAGACCAATAGTGCTGCCCATGAGAATCTCATTACCCATTGAAAACAAAAATAGCAGAAACTCCAAAGGTGTTTACTGGATTCTCCAATACCCAGTAGAACTTGCAGTGTTGACTTGAAGACATGGTGGCCAACAGGATTGAAAGTCATGCTTCATAGTTAACAGTGCCTAGCAAGCAGTACCCAGTGGAGAAGGATTTGGACCAGGACAAGAGTAAAATCAAGGTAAATGCCACGTGGCAAGTGACAGAAATTTTCAGTAGCTAATATAACTCATCCATTGGGAAACCTCAGAAATAAATCCAGAGGAAATAGGAACTTGCCGGCAGCCCAGAGTGTTGCCAGAGCAGGCCAGTTGCAAGCTAGGAAAACAATGTTATTACTGTCAACATGACATCATTTTAAACTTCAGGTTACTGAAGACCTGCAAAGGACCAATTACAAATAGATTCCCAGAGTGTCTTTTAGGCATGACACTTTGGTCCAGGCTTGACCCCTTTTAATCTAGCCTACACCCTGCCCTATAGTCCGTGGGTCAGGAAATGCAGGCCTGCCACACACTAACATACACGAGGACGATATGAAATGAAGAGAAATAAACAGGAACTGTTTGTAGCTGAAGAGGAAAACATGCCATGCTGATCATGCTGTTCACAACTAGATTTTTCACCATTCTGTGGAGTACATCCTACGTGTATTCACAGAAATACAGAGGTGCGAGAGCAAAGGCCACAGAGGTTTCTCATGAACATGAAGTTGCCTCTCACGGGAAAATGGGAGGTACAACCTGCTGATGCTTTAATCTGCTGGGGAGGATGATAGTGTGTTACTGGTAGAGCCTGGACCAATGGGTCCATGGAACAAATTGATGTAACGATGGGCTAGGAAGGAGAGGGTCTTTACTGAAAAGGTAAAGACTTCATCTCAGGTAGGAGGAGAAGGGGCTCATAGCCAAGCGGCCTGGGGATTCTCCTAGGGAAGTGAACTTGCTGGCAGGTTTCACAGATCATGTCAGCAACTCAGCTGACTCCTTTGCAGAAATTTAGCCCAATTTTATGGGATTTTCTGTCTTTATGCAATCATGAAACTATTGTTTTTACTCTTTAGGCTAAAGTCATCACAAAAGCCTTGTTCTTCAGTACGTCTTTCTCAGTGCAGGAAAAGAGAGAAATGAAATGAAAAGAATTGCCGTGAGAAAGGAGGGGAGCCTGGGGGTGCTGGATGACCCGTTGTGAAAAATAAGCATGTTCTTAGAGCACTAGCAAAACAGAGACACTGTAAATAGGCAAAAAAAAACAAACAAACAAACAAAAAAAAAAAAAAAAAAAAACACTTCCATAGTAGTTACTTCTCTCCACTCTCTAACCAAACAAGGTCTGGACCATCTGTTCGTACCGCAATCGTACCAATGAACAGACATTGGTCTGCTGTATCAGGGTCTCTCAGCCTCAGGTCTATTGACATTTTGGTCCAGGTAATTCTTTGTTGTGGGGGACTATCTTGTGCATTTTAGGCTATTCAGCAGCATCCCTGGACTCTGCTTACCACATGCCAGTAGCACCCACTCCCTGTTGAGGCAACTAAGAACTTCTCTAGGAATTGCCAAATGTTTTCTACAGGGCAAAATTGTTTCCAGTTGAGAACCAGCACATTACCTCAATGACATCACATTGAAGAGGCAGGACGAGCAATAGGAGGCTAGCATGTTAGTGGCCTTGGTAAGGCACACATACTTAAGAGAGTGGAATATCAATTCTGGACTTCCAGCTCAAGCAGGGGTCTTTAGTGAGACATGGAGCACGTCAGCCAATTATGGCAGTGAGGAAGGGACACCACTCTTGAAGTCTTTCATTTCAAGAAGAAACTTGCCATTCAGCTCCAAGAAATGCAGCTAGCTGGCAGCCTCCAGCTGCAACACTGTCAGGCCCTACATCAGCTTCTGAGCTGAAGGCATGCTTTCTCCCAGCAGCCACCAGCCTTAGGCTGAGCACAGCAGAGCGACTAGTGCCTGTCCAATGCAGGACTTGGCTATTGGTCTGTCTTTGCCCCAGAATTCCCTGTTGAGGTGGCCCGGGCTTTGCCAGGCTTTCCCTGCCCAACGCATCTCCTCCCCACTTTCCTCTTGCAAATGTCAGGTGTAAATCACAGTCTGAAGGCTTTCCCTGCCCAATTCTGCTTCTTCCCTCTTTTTTCTTTCACGGACATTCTCCATAAATAAACCTCTTATGTCCTAACTCTTTCTCAGCATGAACTTCTCAGAGAAACGGACACAGCAGTATTGTCACCGCACTCAGACTTGGACCTAAAGGAAAACAGCAAGCTATGTCAGAGCCTACCTGTGAGAGGACGCCACATTGCTGAGCCCACACATCCCCCACCTCGTACAGCTCCCAGCGTCACCTGCTCAGCCATAAGCAGCACACTGGGATTTGTTTCTGCCCTCAAGCAGAAGGGAAGCTCAGGCAACAAGCACAGAATGTTCAGACCTTATTCCGCCCATGTTTCTGGTTCTAATACTGGTTATGTTTATTTGTCCTTGCTGTAGTAAAATGTCCAGAATGAAAGATACCTGAGCTGTCAGGGACCTGACACCCAAGTGGCTGTCACTCAGTCTAAATAAAGATCCTCACGCACCAAAGATACAAAAAGCTCACCTGAGTCAAGGTATCTAAACGTCTGAATTGTCTCCTCATGAAGGTATGTATGCTCCTTCCCTAACTCAGAAAAATACAAATCAGAAAGAGAATATGAATTCATAATCTGATTCATCTTTATTATTTGATTCAACTAAATATACTTACATTTTTTTTTTTTACTTTCCAACTTTTATTTCAAATTCAAGGGATACATGCATAGGTTTGTTATATACGTAAGTGGCATGTCACAGGGGTGTGGCGTACAGAGAATTTTATCACCCAGGAAACCAGCATAACACCCAATAGGCAGCTTTTCAATCTTCGCCCTCCTCCCATCCTCCACCCTCAAGTATACCCTGCTGCCTCTTGTTCCCTGTGTCCACGGCACACACATTTTCTAGAAGTTATCATGTTAAGAGTTACGTGGAATCCCAAAGTATTAATGGCAACAGTCCATGCTCTTTTAAACGGATTAATACTGAAAGTAACCTGATATTATCTAGGGAAAAAAGCAGATGACACAGATTATGCCCTCAAAGCATGTACCAAGTGCTCAACATTTGAAACATCTTACCCTGTATCTACCCAGAAGGTTCCAGATTTCTCTCTTACATATCGCCCACCTTTCAAAATGATCTGTTCAGCCATGGAAAGAACACCACTGTCTTGAAACCAAGAAGCAAACTCAAGTGTAGAAACCACATGCCAATGCAGGCAAGACAGAAAGATAGAACAAAGCTGGCATGTTGAGGCCTACCAGCCCCAGACCGCTTACTCCCCAGCTTTCTGACATGACATACAGGAATCCCCTGGTGTTTTTAAACCATTATTATTGGGGTTCTCTGAGTTTTAACCTGTTTCCTAACGTCGGGGGAAAGAGAGGGAGAAAGAGAAACGCAATGGAGATTCTAATAACCTTCTCTAGAGGAAATGTAGAAAAACACTTAGAATTATAGAACTTTGCAGGATTCTCTGATTTTGGCAACCTTACTATGCTGCTAATTGCCATTCTAGTCTATGTCACTGTGATAATTAGCAATAAAATCACTCAAAACCTCCAAGACTCAGATCGGTTTCCTCGGAGAAAGCCAGGAATGGGAGACTGTGTCCCACTTCACATCTAGGCATGCAATGAAAAGAGCAGTGAGGAATAGCTACCATGGGAAGAAAGGAAAACTCTAGCCCTGAGTCACATCCCAAAGGCGACAGGAGAGCTTTGGGAGCCAACAGCTCTGGACAACAGAGAGGCCCTCTGGAGTCTGCTTCCCACATCTGCCATGCCCAGGAGTGTCCTGAATGCATCTGCATCCCCCGGGGTGTTGTGCAACTATCTATATTCTGATCAAGGGTGTTCTCAGCCTTGATAACCGTGTGTATTGATTCCTGTGACTCGATTCTACCTCTTAAGATCCGCCTAATGTCTGATACCTCTTTCCCCATCTTCTTTCTCCTTTACGATCCCCTACTATTCACCCCCACCTGCAATTTATTTATCTACAAATAATAAAGGTGAGATGCAAGGTGGGATGCATTTACCTCTCAGACCCTCAAAGCCATGAGCCCTCTTGCTTCCCCACCAGTCCTACCATGCCCCGTCCCTCCCCTCAACCTGAGGGTGTCCCCAAAGGAACAGACCCCAGGCACTTTGGCTCCCTATGGTAACATATCTTTTAAACTTTTAAAGAATTTTTTGGCTTGGGAAATTTCCTGGACATTTTTAGTTGGTTTGCTGGTGTTCTCCCATGGATAGAGATACCCACTCCACTCATGTTTCCTTCTCAGATCATTGACTATTGCTAAAAGAGCTTTCACCTGGGTTTCCTGGGCCTGGCCAGTTTCTTTGTTGTTAAAAGCACAAATGCGCCACCCACACTTTTTAATAATGTTCTTAAGGGCTTTGTTGTCTGAGTTCTTGATGAAGTCCTCAAGCTTCCCTGCCCCTAGGTCTTCCTTCCGGGTGAACAGCACAACCGTGTAGTCCATGAAGCTGGCTCCAAAGATGCCCTCCAGTTGCGCCACTGCTGTTTTGTCCTCTTCAGTGAATCGTCCCAGCTGGAACACCAGGACAAAAAATGTGTCCCCTTTTTCACAGCAGGACAAACAGTGCTTGAACTCCTCTACTAACTGGGAGCGGTCCTTTTCGACATCCAGCATCTGGCTGAAGGAAGGAGTGTCCACAACCACCACCTCCTGCCCGTCCCAGGTCTTGCTGCCACTCTGGCTGTTCTTGGTGACTGGCTTGGCCCGGAGCTGAGAGATGAAGACGAGCCTCCCCAGGATGGAGTTCCCGGTTGCACTCTTCCCAGTCCCACTCCTCCCCACGAGGACAATGCTCAGGGTTTCTGTCAAAGGAAAGTGGGAAAGATTTGTGACCATGGGCCCATCTGAATTGGATTTTAAAGTTATGCCATGAAGCAAGATTACATCACTAAACAAAGAGGATCCTCAAACAGCATCAAGGCCTCCCTCTCACCCAAGGAGGGGAATCTCCAGACACAGAAATGACTTGGCCCAGTTTGCTCAGTCTGTGGAATCACAGCAGGACTTAGACTACAGTCTCCATCCAGGGTTCATCCACTAACATAGCACTGTTCCTATCACTGAATCCACTCTGCTCCCTTTTTCTGGCACCTTCTGGATTCCCTGGCACCTGTGAGTGCCCCCTGGCCTTCGTACTCTCTACTACCCTCAGCCTGGTCCAGTCTACACATCTCATCCCTTTGTCTTCTGTTCCTGTGACAACTACATCTTCTCACTCCCAACTACTACTAACTGTAGCAACATCTCCTTACAGTATTTAAAGAATTTTTCTGTTAAATTGACTTTCGTGAAAAAAGAACTCTACATATCACCGATAGATTACCAGTTTCCTTAGTTAGGTTATGTGAAAATTCATTTCTCATTAAAACCATATTGAACTTAATTGCCTTTCACTGATGAGTCGAAAGATACCACATGGTTATAATAATGAGTATCCACTAACACTGTTGTGTGTGTGGAGTCCATGATGGAGAAAGAGAATGAATTTTCCTATAAGTGGAATTTGCAGATGCATAGAGACCTTACAACATGTGTTCTTTGGAGATTGCACTTGCTCTGCGATGGTCCAGTGCCCATTCCAGTCTCTTCATAGTTCTCTTCCATTATGAATTCTATACCAAGTAGCTAACATCTACTTCAATGCAAAGGAGGAGAAAAGCACATCACATGCTCTTCTTTCAAGGGGAAGTTATTAACCTGCTTATCCGGAACCTACAGTTTCACAGATGAACAACAGCTTATCTTCCAACATTCCCTTATTTGTCAAATGCTTCAGTCCCTACTTCTATACCTACAGAGGGTATGGTTCTCATGTATCTCTGAAATCCAGCCTGATTCCCCATCCCATATTCTCTAATTCAGTGTTCTTAATGTTCAATGTCTTTATCTTCAGTGTTCTTGGAAGATGGTCTTTAGAGCTGTGAACCCCCATTCACACCAACACTATTCTTTTTTGTACCCTAATAGGTGACATGCTTAGTCCTACCTCTTTGCTTGAAATAGCTGGTATACTCTCTGGAATATCTTCCAGCTTTCTGCTCGGCCATTTAATCCATTCTCCAAAACCTGTTGCAAATTGGGCTTTCTATACACAGCGTCTCCTGACTTTCCCATGTATCTATACTTCCAAAGGAGGGTTCAAATAAGAAGATCTGCTCCTTCGGGTTTTATGTTCTTCCTGGGTGAAGATGTTTGAAGCAGAGAAAAGATGGAGCGAGTAAGAACGGGAAGGACTTCAGTGTAGGTCAACTGAACCTGTAGCACTATGCAGATGAGGAGTCCTTAAGTAGCAAAGTGAGCACTGTGCCCAGCCCTGGGCAGCAGTACTCCGCGGGGAAACAGGGTTGGAAAGGGTCAGCTCCTTTCCTCAAGACCCAACCCTCCAGTTGAAGAGATAGTAAGGATCATGAAAAAATTAAAGACAAGTTCAAGAGAATGTGCAAGGGAAGGCTATAACTTCAGTACAATTTGAGAAACAAAGAGAGAGAAAAGAATCCATGGAATGGACCTGTCCTGCCTTTTCCTTCTGCCAGTTTTAATTTCCTTTCTTTTTTATTTCAACTTTTATTTTAGATACAGGTACATATACACCACAGAATACTATGCAGCCATAAAATAAATGAAATCCTGTCCTTTACAGTAACATAGATGGAGCTGGAGGCCAAATTAACACAGGAACAGAAGACCTGTCCTTTCTGTCTTCTCTATGCCTTTTAGAAAATTTAAAGTTCTTGTGTATTTTATACCTATTTTTAAATGGTATATATAAAAATATATATTCCATTCACAGTTTTACCTTTTTCTCTGAAAATACAATGCTTGTTCCCGTTCTGATGCACCACGCTGTCAATTTTTTGCAGGAGCTCATCCACCTGCCTTTGCTCTTCTTCTGCTGTTGCTCGGTAGTTGAAGGCACTATATCTGTCTCCACATTTCTGGATGAGGCAACAGAGACTTTTATTGCTGTTTCTTAAGAACTTCTCTAGATCCTGATCCCTTAAATCTTCTTTCCTGGTAAAGAGTATGACCATGTACTCAAAGCATTTTTCTCCAAAACTGCTTTGGATGGTGTTCAGCACTGCCTCATCATCCTCATTGTAAAAGCCTAGTGGTGTCACCAGCAGGAAGGCATGGGGGCCTGGATAGGTGTGTCTTTTAAGTTCTGAGTCAATGTTCCTTAAAGAGGAGATGTCCGGAGCATCAATGATCAAAACTTTCTTTTTTCTCCATCTTCTGCTCTCAGACGAGAAGCTCTGGGTTACTGACCACTTACTAAATCCGGTCTCAAAGGCCCGCCTCCCCAGAATGCTGTTTCCTGCTGCACTTTTTCCAGCACCGCGTTTCCCCACGAGGAGGACCGTCAGTTCTGATGTCCCTGGATTCTGCTCGGGTCCTGTGGACTGCAGCTGCCTCTCCCTTGGGCCTGTGGGACAAATGGACAGGTTCATAGTCTCTTCCTGCAGTTGAGTACGGATGTGGGCAGGTTTTATGATTTCTTATCCTTGCCAACTTGTATAGAGAATGGCAACAACACTGTAACACAATAGAACTCTACTCTCAACCAGAAGCTCTCCATCAAGGTGAAAGCCACAGACAGGGGCAGGAGTGAACTAAGCGATACTCATGGAGCTTAAGAGTCCCCAGGAACATGAACATGCTGACTTTGGCCTTCAGCTTTGGTCCTAGGGGTTCCTTTCATTTTGTTATCAAAGGTAAGTACTAAGGCAGGGGCTAAGGCAGGATTAGGGAGAATCTGATTTTCAAATGCCCCTTGGTGGTATAAAATCAAATACACTTAGCAATTTTTTTTTAAATGTGAACTAGTGATATGCAATATAGATGGATCTCAAAACACACACTAAGTGAAAGAAGCAAGACACAAAAGCTGTGTACCATATGATTCTTTCATATGAAGTTAAAGAACAGACACGAATGTTCATTGCAGTACTATTTATAACAGCAAAGACCTGGAACCAACCCCGATGCCCATGGATGATAGACTAGACAGGGAAAATGTTGCACATATACACCATGGAATACTATGCAGCCATAAAAAACGATGAGTTTGTGTCCTTTGTAGGGACATGGATGAACCTGGAAACCATCATTCTCAGCAAACTGACACAAGAAAAGAAAATCAAACACCTCATGTTGTCACTCATAGGTGGGTATTGAACAATGAGAACACATGGACACAGGGAGGGGAGCATCACACACTAGGGTCTGTTGGGGGAAAACAGGGGAGGGACAGCGGTGGGTAGGGAGTTGGGGAGAGAGAGCATGGGGAGAAATGCCAGATATAGGTGATGGAGAGGAAGGCAGCAAATCACACTGCCGTGTGTGTACCTATGCAACAATCTTGCATGTTCTTCACATGTACCCCAAAACCTAAAATGCAATAAAAAAAAAGAACAAACCAAGTTAATCTATGTTGATGGAAGTCTGGACAGTGGTTCTCTGCGGTGAGGGGCAGTAAGAATGTCTAAGATGATGGAAAAGCTCTGTATCTTTATCTGGATGGGGATCCCCTATGTATAGATATGGAAAAAGGCATCAAGCTGTTTATTTAAGATTTGTGCATTTTATTCTATATAAATCATACCTCAATAAATTGCTGTAAAAACCTGCAGAATTGCACCCTACAGCTATCTCTCCACACATCCCCTGGCTGAGCCAGCATCAACACCAACACCAGACCTATGTATTGAGCAAAAGGGAGAGTCAGCAACTTCATTCTCTGACCCTGAGTCATCAACAGCCTTCGTGGGAATGGTCTGACCAGCAAGTTGGGAAGTTGGGATGGACACAGTATTAAACACAAACCAAGACAGCAAAAATGCTAGTGACGCCAGGCCCTCGCTGTGTTGCCTCGGAAAACTTACTGCTTTGCAAATCTGTTTCCATGTTGGTAGAGTGGGAATCTAATGCCCACATTGAAGTTGAAAAGACTAAAGGAAATAGCACCTGTAAAGCCCTTCATACTTGGCTGGCATGGAAGTGTGCATGGAAGGCTTTGCAGGTAAGAAGGAACTTGAGTCAGACCTGGAAGCGCCCCTCCCTCCCTCACACTTCCGCCTCCTGCTTTACAGCCGTCAGGACTTTTGCCCACATGCCAGCACTTTTGCCTCCCTCCCTAACTCCTGCTGGCTGCTCGCCTTCCTGTGCAAATATAACTTCTTCAAGAGAGCTTCATCTAAGTTGCTCCCCGCAAAACCATACAAATTAGCTACCATGTATATTTCCTCTATTCTTACGAAAATAATAATTTATTATTTATTTCAAATATAGGCTGTCTTCAATTTGGAGAGACCATACAGGGTAGTGGTTAAAAGTAAAAGTGAGAAGGAATAATAAGTACCCTTTGAGAGCCAGGAGCTGGTCTGGCCTCCGCAGCAAGGCCGTGGCATCCTGTTGTCCCTCATCCTCCTGTCACCCAGGCTGGAGTGTAGTGGCATGATCTTGGCTCACTGCAACCTCTGCCTCCCAGGTTCAAGCAATTCTCTGCCTCAGCCTTCCAAATAGCTGGGATTACAGGCGCCCCCCACCACGCCTGGCTAATCTTTGTATTTTTAGTAGAGACAGAGTTTTACCACTTGGCCAGGCTGGTCTTGAACTCCTGACCTCATGATCTACCCCCCTCAGCCTCCCAAAGTGCTGGGATTACAGGTGTGAGCCACTATGCTCAGCCCCTCATCCACAATATTACAGAAAATCAGACACGAGCCTTGCACAACCACAACCACTCTGCAATCATGTCTGAGCACACAAAAACAACAGCACTGCCTGAACATTCCCTGCCCTGCCTAAACGGAGGATGCTGCCTCCTGATAGCTTTAGCCTCACTCCACCCTTGTCACCTTGGACAGAAGAATTATTCAAACACTTCACTGTTGAACTACACCCCACTTCCTAAGAGCATCCATCCCGGAGCAAAGTCCCACTTCCTGGAACCTTCCTCGAAATCACCGAACACGAGCCTACAGCCTATAAAAAGTCCTTCCCAGCCCCCTCTTTCTGACATTCCCTGTGACTCCCCATGGTGTGCTGGGCCCTCACAGCCACAGGTCAATAAACCCAATTTTGTTCAGTCACACATGTGTTCCTGGAGGTCTTAGCCAAAAGGCATTGCCAGAATTTTGAAACCCTTCTGCCTGAGTTCACATATTTCTAGCCTGAGATCACTCAGCTGTGAAATGAGGATGAGGCTCGTGACATCTTCTTTACAGGGTTGTTATGAGACCTGAACTGTGTATTTTAAGAGGATTATATACGAATATACTATGAAGATTGAATTACGTATACATAAAAGTTATTTCCCAGAACATAATGTCAGTGCAATTTTTTTTTTGAGACAGGGTCTTGCTCTGTTGCCCAGGCTGGAGTGCAGTGGCATGATCTCAGCTCGCTGCAACCTTGCACTCCCAGGTTCAAGTGATTCTCATGTCTCAGCCTCCCGAGTAGCTGAAACTACAGGCATGCACCACCATGCCTGGCTAATTTTTGTATTTTTAGTAGAGACAGGGTTCTGCCATGTTGACCAGGCTGGTCTTGAACTGATCCACCCACCTCGGCCTCCCGAAGTGCTGAGATTACAGGCATGAGCCATCACACCTGGCCTCAGCTGCAATTATTATCAATACTATTAAAATTATGATTTTATTATCTGGGAGATTTCCATGAGGAAAAGGATCTTGTCTATCTTATTCACAGCTGGACACTCAGAACTTGCACAGAGCTGACTCAGAAACAACCCACATATCCATCAGTAAAGGCACGGTTGCATTTGTATGTGTTCACATTGTGAAATGAACTGCATCTACTAAACAGAAAGAGGTGGATCTATACATATTGACTTATGCAGATGTGCAGGATCTATCATTACTGGCAGTCGTTGCATGGATACCACACGCCATCAGAGAATTCCGCAAGTTGGTGTTGTCCACGAAGGAGTGATTTCTGCTTACCTAAGAGGAGTCAAAACTTGGGCAGGGCTAGACCCAAGGCCAGAAAGAAGAGTCTGAGTTAGGAAAAGACATAAGAGGCAAGCCCAGCTCTGTAACACTTCAGAAAAGTCCAAGGACACCCTCTCTGCATCCAGGACCTTTGCAGGTGCTGTACCTACTCACAAGTGTTAGGAATTCCCTGGGGGACAGGTTGCAGGCACCAACCTCAGCTAGGTCCCCAGGGTGAATTTTTGTTTTTATTTATATGGATAATGTTTCTGCTTCACTTTGGCTGCATAATGCATTCGAAAGAAACATTTAAGAAACGTCAGCTTAATGTTTCTTAAAGACCAACTTACCATGCGGCTTGTCTCCCTCTTGAGATGAAGCTTCATTCACACAGTCCTAGAAAATAAAGGAAAAAATGGTGTACACAGATCTAAAACCTCATCTTCCACAAAGTAAAGGGGAAAAAAAGAAAGAAAGAAATTGAAGTATGTAATTCAGAGTGTAATTCAGATGTGGTCAAATCAAGGCCCTGGTCATGGTCCTCGTCAGTCTTTGTGGACCTGTCCACGATGGCAGTGGATGTTTAGACCCCGTGATGCTGCTGTGACTGGCTCCCAGAGGAGGTGCGGTCTTCAACATCTCCTTTCATCACTGCTCCCAATATGGAGAGGAAGCTTCTTCTGATTTGAGGTGAATAGTCCATAGCATTTGGAATCCCATCCCCCACCAAGTCCGGCAAATAGAGACAACAGGATAGAGAAACCAACACGTAATTGACAACCCCTTCTCCTTCCTGGGGAATCCTTATACTCAGTTCCAAAATATTTATTGTCATGGAATCAAGAAAGGAAGTGAATAAACCCTACGCAATTTTATGAACCTGCTAGTCTAAGAAGCTTCCTAGACTTCATTTTAACCTTGTCTTTGTTAAATCTTCACGCTGGCCAAGGAAACCTTCCCTCTGCTTTCTTGCCTGGCTTGGCTCAATGTCACTGATACCTTCAACCATCCCTCTCCCTGCATCCTCTCCATTTAACTGTCATTATCAGAGTTCTTTAACCTTACACAGCCCAGTTCAAATTCTTTAGTGTTCTTTAAATGCAAAAGGTTGTTAAGAGGTAAATGTGTGCAATATAAAAACAATGATCTTTGTATTCCCACTCTACCAGAAAAGTAACGGTTGGTAACTGGTATATATCCTTTTTCTATGTTCATACAAATACATACAAGCATACATGAACATATAGAGACTTTTTAGGTCATTTTTTCTACAATCTGCTTGGTAATGCATTCCGTACATCTATAGGATTCAATGTAGATAGATCTACAGCATTCTTTAAGTAGATACAATTTGTTCCATAGTATGGACATGCATAACTGATGTGGCCATCTTTTTATTAATCAATCTTCAGGTTATTTCTGGTTTTACTGTTTCAAATGATCCCGTGCTACCTATGCTTGTACATATATCTTTATTTATACTGATTTTTTTTTTTTATGTTCAGGGCATAGAGTCCTAAAAGTATGGCTCTGACTCAGTCTCTGGATTGTTAAACTCCTAAATGTCTCCTTAATTTATTTAATCCTCAGACATTTTCATCATCATAATAACAACAGCTAAGAATGACCAAACACCTGCCAAGTTTCAAGTGTTCATTAACAACTCTGTAAGCATTTCGTTTAATTCTCACAGCCATTCCTAAGATACGTGTGATTATTATCTCTGCTTTACAGAAGACAAAACTAAGATGCTGTAGTCAACCAAACAAATACGATTTCCATGTCCTCATGGAGTTAGTAGGGAGACAACCAGTGAAATCACATGATATGGTGGTGACTGTGCTATCAGGAAAGGAAGCTGTGGGGCTCATTCCAGGCCTGAGAGTCAGGACGGTCAGGGAGGAGACTCCCTGAGGAAGTGAGTTTGAGCTGATGCAGATGGAGAAATCAAAGTAAACGTGGTTCAGAGTGGGAGCCGGGAGAGCAAGTGTCCATTTAGAGAGAATTGCAGGCTTGAGGCTCAGGAGTGGATGTGAGTGTAACTCCGGGGCAAACAGGAAGGCCAGAGGGACCAAGACGTGGACAGCGGAGCACAGAGCAAGAAGCCAAGGTGAATTAAGGATTCTGAACTCTACCTTACAATCACCAGGAAGTCACCGGAGCATGTTAAACCAGAGGGTTTCATTCTAGGAAACATGACATGCCCATTCTTCTCTTTGCTGACATCCCTGTTCCATGCTGCCCTCAAGGAAGACACAGATTGTCACAGAGGAGGGAGCGTTCAGGCTAGGAAATAAGAGAGCAAGTGCCTTCAGTGCTCTTGAGCCTCGGTTTCCTCACACGTAGAGCATCTGTCCATAGAGGTGTCGTGAGGGCTTAATTAGTTCATGTCTGTGTCTGGAATTTAGTGGGCACTCAGTAAATGATTTCCCTCTTATTTCCATCCTGCTGGGGCTTATTACTCTTTCCCTCTGAGAAGTCTCTCTGAATGTCCCCCACGCTCAGCACGTGCCTGCTGTACCCTCTCTGGGGCTTTCCCTTGCCAAATCCTCTGTGCCAGCGTCTCCCTCACCCTCAGCCGGGAGAGCTTTGTTTCTTATACATCAGCCACTCCAGCTGAAGTAGAAGCACCTCTAAGGCAAAGACTGCACTTTTGTATCTCCCTTAGTTACAAATACATTTTCCTTTCATGTCAAAAGCTTAAATAAAATCTCCTCCTGGCTGTTACGTGTGAAAGGGATTGCAGATAAAGCCCAAGAATATATGAGGAGAAAGTCATTATGTTAAAATAGTACAGGCAAGAAACAACGTTGGCTTGGACCAGGCGGTGGGAGTGGGATGGAGAGAAGTAGGTGGATCCCAGGTATATTGATGCCGCAAGACCTGATGATTTCTTGGCTCTCCAAGGAGAGCTACCAGGGTAGCAGAGCTGGCACTGGGGTGTGGGTACAAAGAGCATGGTGAACAGCACAGCCCTTTTCTGAGGTATGAGGGAGAAGTCTTATAGATTTAAGAGAGAAGATCAAAAATGTGGACATGTTATGTCTGAGAAAGTATTAAGAGAGACACACGGAGATGCCAAGCAGCAATTTGCAAAGGAGGAAGAACTCAGAGGACAGACCTGGCCTAGAGTTACTACTCATTTGAAAACTGTTAGTAGTAGATAAAGCTCAATGGCACAACAGTGTGGCATCATCTGAGAAGAGAGTACAAAGATTTGAAGAAGGCCAGAACCAAGTCCTGAGGATGCTCATTTTTAGAGGTCGGAGATTAGAGAAGGACTCAGCGATCCTTGGAACAGCCAGAAAAAGAGGACTAAAACAAATAAACAAAGAGAGGGCAATTATCTGAAAGCCAGGGAAGAAAGAGTCCAGCAAGTCACTTGTGTTGAATAATATGAGGGACCAAGTAAGATAAGGGATTAAATTTGTCCATTAATTTGCGAATCGAGCCTAAAGTCCTTAGGCTGATATTTAAAGTACCCTACAATCTGATACCTCTTATTCCTGCAAATGATGTATCAAAATCTCATTAAAGAAAACCCGTGTTCCATCACACAATGTCATATTTATTTGTACCCATTTTTATACCACTAGCTTCAGCAACATAGAGATTTTTAGAGACATTAAACAAAATTCTTACTTGAAATCTGCTGCCTTCAGTTTTGAGGTTCACATGATAGGGTCCTCGGTTCATTTTCACCAAATCTTCGACCTTGTGAAGGAGCTCCGACACCTGGCTGACTCGCTCATCCTCAGTATCAGCCTTGCTGAAAATACAGTATCGGCCCCCACAGTCTTGAACCAATTGCTTGAGAGATTCGTGGTTTTTAATGAACCCTTGCAGCAAGTCAGCCCCCAAATTATCCTTCTGGGTGAAGACAATAATGATATGCCTTCTGGCTTCAGCTCCAAACATCTGTTGGATGCCCGTGACCGTTTCCTCATCCTCCCTTGTGAAATGGCCGATGGTAATTACCAAGAGCAAGGCATGGAGGCTGGGGGCAGAGAGCTCCAGGCAGTGTTGGATGTTGCGTTGCTTGTCTTCAGCACAAGCTACTGGGGAGAAAAGGTCAGGGGTGTCAATGACCACAACCTTCCTTTCTCTCAGGACCTGACTTTCTCTTTGGCACACTGTGGTCACTATCTGATCACCGAACTTGGAAGCGAACACATCTTTGCCCAGAATGGCATTTCCTGTGGCACTTTTTCCCGAGCGGCATTTCCCCAGGAGGAGGAGCCGCAGTTCTGACGTCCGGCAGCTCTGCTTCGACATGTTCTCCTGACACAGGCTCCCACTGGTTCTGTTGGGACAGAAACAAGACATCCATGTTCAGCTCCCACAAAGAGTGGACAGGAGAACAACAAGAAAAGACATTCGCTTTTTGACTCAAATTGCCCCCAATGGATTTGAGCTACTGAAGCTCTGGACCCAGACTAGATTAGAACAAGAAACACTGTTTCCCAGGACCTTCCTGTTCTCTCATCTCTGAGACAAACCCAGAGATCCCTTTTAGTTTTCTAAAATCTTTTTTTTTTTTTTTTTACCATTAGGAACCAAAAGGAGTCAGATATGTTAGGAACCATAGTAAATAACATGTTTTAAAGTGGAAGGAAATCTCGTAATTAATAGTAATGGTCAGATGATTAAAAAATACAGATTCCTGGGACCCAACCTAGACCTATCAAATCAGAATCTCAAAGGAAGAGAGAACTACTCATCTGTATTTGTTATTTCAGGCTCCACCTTGTCTGACATATGTTTTGAGCTGATTTGCAGTAACTGTTCAATCACCCTTCCTTGTACGTTTTCCTCTGGGTTGCCCAGGAGTCCCTGACCTGAAATCAAGTGAGGCCTGGAAATTCATGGCAAAACTAACACTGCAAGGAGACAACTCTCCTCTGCCATAATCGGAGGTTTTCCCTTTAGGGCACATGAGCAATTAGCTGTGATTCCCACACAGGGTTACACCTGGGATCCTGCGCTTCTCTCTTTAAAAACTTAGTTTTTTGGCTCTCCCTATGAAACCTTCAAAGGGCACCCTCTCGGATGGCCAGCCCTCCAGGGTCCATGGTGAAGTCAGAAAGTTCTTCATGTAATTTCACACCCTCTTCTAGTGTCTCTGCCCCTCGATGGGTTCCTTCCCCTTCCCACCAAGCCTGCTCCAGTATCCTTTTTGTCACTCGTATGAAAAGGCTAAACAACAACAAATAAAAGGCAAAGATGCAGCAAGCAGATAAGAAGGTGACACACATGAGGACAATGTCATGGGACCTCAGGGAGGAGCCAATCACTGGGGACAGATTTGTACCACTCCATAGAAACCACTCCAGGAGAGGGTAAAAATCCCTTAGCTGCCAATTCACAACGTGCTTACACTCATTATCTGATCACTCTGTGTCATAACCTCTTCATTCTTTATATTCTTCTAATTGTGAAGTTTTATGTTTATTCTAGACAATTTGGTATATTCAGAAAATGTTAAAGAAAAAATCTTCTATGGATCCATCATCCATAAATAGCCTTTGTTAAAATATGAGAACACATGGACACAGGGAGGCCATCACACACCAGGGCCTGGGGTTGGGGGACTAGGGGAGGAATAGCAGGGGGTCGGGGGACTGGGGAGGAATAGCATTGGGAGAAATACCTAATGCAGATGACAGAGCAATGGATGCAGCAAACCACCACCATGGCACGTGTATACCTATGTAACAAAGCTGCACGATCTGCACATGTACCTTCGAACTTAAAAGTATGATTTTTCAAAAAGAAGAAAAAAAAAAACAATGCATATAATTTCTTTTCTTTCATTTTTCTGTTTTAGAGACAAGGTCTCTCTCTGTTGCCCAGGTTGTAGTGCAGTGGTGAGATCATAGCTCATTGCATCCTCAGCCTCTTGGGCTCAAGTGCTCCTCCTGCCTCAACCTTCAGGTTAGCTAGAACTACAGGCACACGCCACCGTGCCCAACTAATTTTTTAAAACCTTTTGTAGAGATGGGGGGGTCTCTCTATGTTGCCCAGACTGGTCTCAAACTTCTGGCTTCAAGCAAGCCTCCTGCTTGGGCCTCACGAAGTGTTGGGATTGCAGACATAAGCCACTATGCTCAGCCCATAATTTCCTCATAAACACATTCATTTGCATCATTTGACAACAACTTTTCTAATAAAGTAGATTTTCATTAAATAAGAATAACATATTCCTTAAAATAAGCTGGAAAATAAAATGGCGGTTGAAAAGTGATCTGCCATCTGCAAAGAATCATATCAGGTTTGTAGTGTTTTTATTACATGTAAATGAGCATTTTAGGTTTTTTTCATTTTATCATACTTACATGTATGTGTCCATCTGAAGCTAATGTAAACTCTATATGAGGGAAATTTACCTAGAAATTACTCCAAATATTGAAGATAACAAGTAGTAGTAAAATAATTTACTTTGCCCTGCCCATCTTGGCTTCCACTGGCACCTACACACACTGCCTAGGGCCCCAGATTCCAGCCAGGCCAGTCCACTACTGCCACCAGAAGGGCCCATGCATGCCACTTGGGGGTCTAAAGGTTGGCCCACCACTGCTACTGGCACTGCCAATGCCACATACATCATCCAAGGGCCCAAGGACTGGCCCGCCAAACCTACTGCTGTAGCCAACACACACCACCTGGGAGGCCAAATACTGGCCTAGTCAGGTCCTCCACCCGCCACTATCAGTGTTTGTGTATACCATCTAGAGGACTGAGTACTGACTGATATAGCCCATACTCACCAATACTGATGCCCATGTGCATCACCCAAGGGCCCAAGGATGAGGCCACTTGATGTCTCTATCCCCAGGAAAATCTTACCACAGACTTTACTAACAACCACAGGCTATACCACTGAGGAACCTTCAGACAACACTGACATTGATTACAGCCAAACAAATCATATGAAGACCACACTACTGCACCTACCCAGAATCAAAGCCAAAGCACCCTACCCAATCAACACTAGAGATACATTTAATTGAAAAAAAGTATTTCCCTGTGAAAGTCAATGCATAAAATTGAATGAAGGAGCTGTTACACCAGATGCACAGAGTGCAAAAACACAGGAAACATTAATAAGCAAGGGAACATAATATCTCCAAAGGAACACAATAATCCTCTAGTAACAGATCCCAAAGAAAAAGAAATCTATGGAATATTTGAAGTGGAATTCAAAACAATCATCTTAAGGAACAGCAAGAGAACACAGATAGACAATACAAGGAAACATGCAAGAGAATACAGATAGACAACACAAGGAAATCAGAAAAAAACAAATCATGGTATGAATGAGAAATTCAATAAAGATATAGGTATTATTTTTAAAAATGGAAATCCTGGACCTGAATAATTCAATGAACAAAATGAAAAAAAAAATGTAACCAAGAGCTTCAAAAATAGACTAGATCAAGCAGAAGAAAGAATTCCTTAACTTGAAGGCATATCATTTAAAATAACTCAGTCTGAAAAAAATTTTTTTAAGACTAAAGAAAGCCTGTATGACATATGGGACACCATAAAGTAAACAAATATTTGAATTTTGAGAGTTCCAGAAAGAGACAAATGTGAAAAATCATAGAAAAAAATCTATGTAATAGATAACAGATGAAAATTTCCAAAGTATTGTGAGAGATATAGACATTCAGATATAGGAAACTCAAAATTCTCAAATAGATTCAATCCAAAAACATTTTCTCTGAAGCATATTATAATCAAATTGTCAAAAGTCAAAGCTGAAGAGAATTATAAAAACAGCAAGGGAAAAGTGTCAAGTCACATATAAAGGAATCTCCATTAGAGTAACAGCATTTTTTTTTTTTTAAATCAGAAAGCTTGCAGGTCAGGAGAGAATGGGATGACATATTCAAAGTGCTGAAAGAAAATCTTTTTTGGCCAAGAATACTATATCTTTCAGAAATGAGGGAGAAATAAAGCCTTTTCCATACAAGCAAAAACTGATGTAATTTATTACCACTAGACCAACCCTACAAGAAACGCTTAGTGTATTCCTGCATCTGAAAGTGAAAAGACAGTTTCTACCACCATGAGAATACACAAAAGTACAAAACTCATTAGTAGAGCACATATACAAATAAGAAAGAGAAAAAAATCAAATGTTGTTACTATAGAAATCACCAAATATCAAGGACAAACAATAAGAGAAAATAAAGAAACGATGGATATATAAAACAATCCAAAAACAACAACATGACAGGAGTAAGTTCATCTATCAATAACAATCTTAAATGTAAATGGTTTAAATTTATCAATTTGAAGGTACAGACTAGCCGAATGGATTATAAAATAGGACCTAACTATATGCTGCTTACAAAAAATTCACTTCCTCTGTAAAGCACATAGAATGAAAGTGAAGGGATTTCAAAAAAAAGATATCTCATACAAACAGAAACCAAAGACATGCAGGAGCAGCTATACTTAAATCAGACAAAATAGACTTTAAATCAAAAAACATAAAGAGACAAAAAAGAGTATTATAAAATGAAAAAGAGATCAATTGAGCAAGAGAGTATAATAATTATAAATCTACGTACACCTAATGCAGATATGTAAAACAAATATTATTTAGGCTAAAGAGAGAGATAGACCCAAGACAATAATAGGTGGAGACTTCAATACCCCAATTTCAGCATTGGACAGATAATCTAGATGGAAAATTAACAAATAAACATGGACTTAAGCTACACTACAGATCATGTGGACCTAACAGATGTTTACAGAACACTTCCTCCAATAGCTACACAATGCACTTTCTTCTTATCAACACAACACATACTATGTGTATGAGGTAGACAACTAATTTTATCATTTTTCCATCTTGAAAAAAATGACACTTTTGATTGGCTAAACATACTAACTCCCTTCTCTTTTACACATCACCCACTATAAATGCTGGGGGGGAGAGGAATCTAAGTACTCTCTGTTGTAGATGGAATTGGTCACCCAAGATGTCCATGTGCTAATCCCCAGAATCTGTGGCTGTATTACTTTACATGGTAAAAGGGGCTTTGACAATGTTATTACAGATTTTGAGACAGATAATCTTGGATCATCCAGTGGTCCACAGGAGAGTCCTTATTATAGGGAGGCAGGAAAGTCAGAGTGAGAAGAAGATTTGAGGACACAGTCAGAGGTCACAGAGACAGACTTAAAGATGCCACACTGCTAGCTTTAAAGACGGAAGAAGAAGCAGGAGCCAGGAGTCGAGGGGATGCTGGTGGTTTCTAGAAGCTGAAAAAGGCAAAGAAATTGATTATTTCATAGAACCTGCAGAAGGACCACATTCCTTCCCAGAAAAGCTTGATTTCAGGACTTTTGACCTCCAGAACTATAAAATAAATTTGTGGTGTTTTAGCCACTAATTTTGCAGCAGTTCGTTACAGCAGAAATAGGAAAGTAATACACTCTCTCTCCCAGCTTCCCTTCTAACTAGGGGTGTCCATGTGACCCAGTTCTACCAGATGACAGTTACATGAAAGTCTGCTTTGAACTTCTGGGAATATTAGTACTATTTTCTTGGTGATAGAGACAGCCTCAAGTAGACAGCTCATGCTGTATCTTTTCCCCCTTCTTGCATGGAATTGAAGGGTGATATCTGGAATGGTGACAGATAGTATGGGGCAATAAGTTCACAAATATTAAAACAAAAAGTGAACACATACCACCAAGCAGAAAGATAAAAGACACTTGGATTCCTGCTGCTATCGCTGAGCTTCCAGAACATATCAGAGACCACCTCTTTGTTAAATGAGCACTGAATATTCTAATTTAAAAGCTTATTAATCAAAGTGCAATTCACAGAGTAGCAACATTGCCAAGAACTGGGATCTCATTAGAACTGCAGAATCATACGCTGCCTCAGATGTACTGAATTAGAATCTATAATTTAACAAGACCCAGGTTATCCTCATGAGCATTCAAGTTTAACATGCTCTGATTTAAGCCACCTTTAGTTAAAAATGAGCATTCCTGGCCAGGCGCTGTGGCTCACGCCCTGTAATCCCAGCACTTTGGGAGGCCAAGGGAGGCGGAGCACTCTGAAGTCAGGAGTTGGAGACCAGCCTGACCAACGTGGAGAGACCCAGTCTCTACTGAAAACACGAAATCAGCCAGGCATGGTGGCACATGCCTGTAATCTCAGCTACTCAGGACGCTGAAGACAGGAGTATTGCTTGAACCCCAGAGGCAGAGGTTGCAGTGAGCTGAGATCATGCCATTGCACTCCAGCCTGGGCAACAAGAGCAAAACTCTGTCTTAAAAAAAAGCATTCCTAAATGATCCCACATGAAGAGCCAAGTTTCCCAGCATCATTTACTGAATAGTTCATGACTTCGCCAATGATTCTATCAGACACCAAGTGCCCGTGCGTCCACAGTTCTACCCCTGGGTTCTCTGTTTTGTCTATTGGACTCTTAGTGTAATCCTGAACCAGAATGTCTTCATTACTAAATGCCAATATTACTTAATTAGTATAACTTTGAGTCTTAGTTATCTGATTAAGCAACTCTCAACATCTTGCTATTATTCCAAACTGTCTTGGCTCCTCTGAGCTCCTTAATCTGGTATAGGACTTTTAAAGTCAGCTGTAAATTTCCTTAAGGCCTGCTGAAACGCTGAATGTCATTGCACTGAAGTTATAGCTGTGTTTGAGAACAACTGATATCTTTATATAGTTGAGTCTTTCCCTCCACTCTTCTTTGTTGACCAGTTTTAAATATGTTCTCATTTCAATTATGATTTCTTTTTGACCCATAAGGTGAGAGAAGTGATCACTAAATTTCAACATGTATTGAAACATTGGCTACCTTTTTATTTATTTCAAATGTTGCAATGTGGCCCGAGAACAATGTCTGTATAAACTATTTGTCATGGGTTGAGATTTACTTTTTGACCCAGTGAATTTTTTGTAAGTGTTCCTGTAGGCTCAAACAGAACATGCAGCCTGTTACTAGGGTACCTTCCACAATGAGGCCTCCATTCACTCTGCTGTCACCTTAGCTACAGCTTCCCAGATGGTCCAGCACACCCTTGCCTCCACCCCATCCTCCTATCTGCCTGGAAGAAGATTCCTACCCATTCTCCATCCCTTAGCCCAAGGACACTGAGGCTCCATGTCCAGGCTTCGGCTGCTCTGCGTCACCATCCCAGCTTCAGGGCGCTCCTGACAGGCCCCTTCCGCCTGCTTCTTCCTCCCTTCTGCCAGCCTCAGCCCTCCTCCTCTTAGGGCTCACACCCACTCCCCGACACGCCTCCTCTTAGGACAGTCACTCTCACAGATGTCCAGGAATGTACCCCTGTCTCCCTCCTGCCGAATCTGCTCCCCCAGCAGGTTGGGGAGACACGCTTAGGACCAGGAGGAGAGCGTGCCAGGTCCCTGCGATCCAGCCCCACAGGCAGCCTCCTCTCCCATGGCTGAGCCCATGGCAAGCCCATCCCGTCCCAAAACCAGGCACCAGTGCACACACATTTACACACGTCTGCGCACATCACACACACACTGCGGTCCTGTCCTGGCTCCATCCCTCCATCTCTCACCTGGGTGGAAGCAGCTGCTCGTGCCCCAGGGCACAGAATGTGAGGAAGGCGAGGAGGGTGGGGGAGGACCCCCGGGGAGTGACCCACTTCCTGGGCCCTGGTCCTCCTGGCAGGAGGGTTTCGGGTGTTTCTGCGAAGGAAGAGATTTCTAGAAATAGCTTCACATCCACAGAGTCATAAATTCAGTCGGAGAGAAAGTTCTGTGCAGGGTGCTGAGCGTCTTGTGGGGTCACAACACAGCAGAAACTGGGGAGTACGGCCCTTTCCACAGCTGCAGACTGAGAGGAGGGAGGGGAAATGACAGCAGAGGCTTGGCCACAGGGTGGGGCCCGGGGCAGGAGCCAGGCTGAGCTTCGGGAGCGCTGTAAGAACAGACGCTTGGGTAGCACAGGAGAAGGACGTCAAGCCGGTTCCTGTCCTTGAGACAGCAGAGATTGCAGCGCCACTACGAACTCTGAGCAAAGCCAGCTCCCGGCGGCTCTGTGCCCAGAAGTGGCCTTTAGGACTTCTAACAAGTGCTTCCTCGTTCCCTTCCCTTCCCTAAAACCCACAACCCAGGTAACTGGGAGCCCGACAGACCAACGCTGCTTCTCAGGGGAATTAATGCTTTTCCCCAGCTTGCAAAACATGTGAAATGCTAGACTTCGATGCTTTCAAATGTTCATAGAATCAAATCCCTTTTCTGAAAGATCATAGTGTCCAAAATCCCTGGTCTCTACTTCATAAGAAAATCAAACACGCAGAAAGACTTTTTAAAAAAATGTTCACTGGAGTAAAAATGACCATCTTCACCATTTTTAAGCATGTAGCCCGCAGTATAAAGTACATTCACGTTGCTGTGTGCCACATCTGCGGGACGTTTCATCCTGCAGCACCCAAACTCTGTTCACATTCCACCCCAAATCACCCCCCACCCCTGCCAAACCCCAGCCTGGGTAACCACCTTCCAGGTAACCACTTTTCTACTTTGTTTCTATTATTTTGTTGTTGTTTGAGACAGAGTATTGCTCTTTCGCCCAGGCTAGAGTGCAGCTCACTGCAACCTCTGCCTCCCAGGTTCAAGCGATTCTCCTGCCTCAGCCTCCCAAGTAGCTGGGATTACAGGCATGCACCACCACACTAGGCTAATTTTTGTATTTTTAGTAGAAACAGGGTTTTACCATGTTGGCCAGGCTGGTCTCGAACTCCTGACCTCAAGTGATCCACCCACCTTGGCCTCCCAAAGTGCTAGGATTACAGGTGTGAGCCACCACACCCGGCCTATTTCTATGATTTTTGGCAACTTCAGATACTCATGTGAGTGAAGTTCCACAGTGTCTACCCTTCTGAGACTGAGCAGGATGCCCTCGAGATTCATCCAAGTGAGCATGGGACCCTCGCCTGCACAGGAAGCAGAGGCTGGGGCCTCGAGGGCCTGGCGCTCACATCGGTTTTCCAAATGTCTGAGGTGGTGCTGAGCTTTCCAAAGGGACCCCACAGAAGGAGGAGCAGTGGGGGTGGCTAAAGTGGGTGGGCATGCCTCAGATATGAAGTCTCTATAGTAGTCAAAACCACAGGCTTTGGGGTGCTGCTCTCAGCCTATCACGTCCCAAGGTATCCACCCCACCCCCCGGACTGGTCTTCATGCACCCACCTTGCCAGCTGCTCTATCTCATTACAAGCCTGAAGGAAACCCTGGCTATGCTGGGATGGGCCAGGAAGAAGTCTGGGGACACCCAGGACACATCTTGGTGGGGAAAACTGACAAAGCCCCTCTCATGCCTCACCCCACCTGCCTCCTTATTGAAAGAGAATCCGTTTTGGAGGAACCCTTACCCTTCCTTTGCAGTAAGTCAACGCACATAAAATCAGCTCATTAAAATGATGAGACAAAAATCCTAAGCCAGGTAGTGCGGTTCATCCCCGCTGGTATACTGACAGAGGCAGAGGCTCAGCAAGAAGCTGTTTTCCCAAAATAGTTTCCCTCATTCTTAAAGGAAACATTAAGCCAAAAAGGCTCCCACCTAAATGAAATATTAAGCATCCTGGGGTTGCTCTGAGTAAAACCGAAGCTACAAATAACTCCTCAAAGATGTAGCAAGTCAATTATTTGCTGAGCTGACCAGTTTGCAAAATGATCTTTCAGCAAATCAGCTCTTAGAGAATTGATTCCTGTGCAGAAGGAAGCCTGCCGGGTTCTGGTTTGGCACCCATCTGAGGAAGGACGGGGGCTCTCTGCTCCCTAGTGGCTGTGCGGCTAATGACAAGTGCAGCGAAACGCTCACCAGCGGGCTGAGAGCCCTCCTCACTCAGCAGGCAGGTTAAGAGTAGGGAGAAGGGGCGGGCGCGGTGGCGCAAGCCTGTAATCCTAGCACTTTGGGAGGCCGAGGCGGGTGGATCACGAGGTCGAGAGATCGAGACCATCCTGGTCAACATGGTGAAACCCCGTCTCTACTAAAAATACAAAACATTAGCTGGGCATGGTGGCACGTGCCTGTAATCCCAGCTACTCAGGAGGCTGAGGCAGGAGAACTGCCTGAACCCAGGAGGCGGAGGTTGCGGTGAGCCGAGATCGCGCCATTGCACTCCAGCCTGGGTAACAAGAGCGAAACTCCATCTCAAAAAAAAAAAAAAAAAAAGAGTAGGGAGAAGGACTGGATTTCCAGAAATCATATACGCCAGGAAGACACAAGTTATGCAAGCAAGGAGAAATCGACCAAGACCAAGCGCCGTAGTGGACACAGAGATTAGCAAGGCGAATCCCTGGCTCAAGGGCCCCTAAGGCAGTCTGAGGGTGGGGAAAAGACTAAGCTGTGGTCACAAAACAAGGTAATGTGCCATGATAGAGATGCGTCCTGGCCGCCATGCTAGTGAAGAGGAGGCGATGTAAACCCTGCAAGATGGAAAAACAACCAAATGGGGAAATAAACTTCTAAACAAATCCATAAACCCACCATTTCCTGTGGCAGGTACTGCAGTGGAGAAGATTGCAGGGCACAGAGGAGGGAAGGTTGCATGGGAAAAAGAATGCCTAAGTCTTGAAGAGCTGCACACATTTGCCTGTCAGACGCTGGAGGGAGGATGCTTCGGGCAGACAGAGGATGATAAAGGCCACCAACATCGGGGCCCTGAGACAGCCTGGCAGGTGCGGAAAAGCGTGGTCAGGCTGGAGGCAGAAGGACCAGTCCGAGACTGCTGCAGACCCCAACCTAAAAATGAGGAGGACTGACACAGAGACAGTAGCAAGGGGAACCGATTTATTACAAATTTAGAAAATAGAGACAATAAGGCCGGGCTCAGCGGCTGTAATCCCAGCACGTTGGGAGGCCGAGGTAGGCAGATCAACTGAGGTCTAGAATTTGTGATCAGCCTGGTCAACTGGTGAAACCCCATCTCTACTAAAAATCCAGAAAATTAGCTGGGTGTGGTGGCGGGCACCTGTAGTCTCAGCTACGTGGGAGGCTGAGGCAGGAGAATTGCTTGAACTGGGAGGCAGAGGCTCCAGTGAGCTGAGATTGTGCCACTGCACTCCAGCCTGGGTGACAAGAGTGAGACTGTCTCAAAAAAAAAAAAAAGAAGAAGAAGAAGAAGAAGAAAGACACAATAAAAGAATTCTTTTAAAAAATAAATTCACAGTTGCTAACCCAACTGTTCCAGTAGCCACATCAAAGGGAGTGCTAGTCACAGCAGACATCTTCGTTATTTTGGAAAATATTATTATATGTTGTTTCATTTCAAAGACGGACAATGTGTGTGTTTACTACATCTTTGGCAGATGGTAGTAAAGTGTCTTGTAACTACATTTGTATATTTTGACAATTTTTTGATGGAATTAAATGTCTTGTTCAAGTGAAATTCATGTCTGCTATAGTAATTAAGAAATAATACCCTTATTTGAAAACTTTTAACTTCCCCTGTAATCCCAGCACTTTGAGGGGCTAAGGCAGGTGGACCACTTGAGGTCAGGAGTTCGAGACCAGCTTGGCCAACATGGCAAAACTCTGTCTCTACTAAAAATACAAAAATTCGCCAGGCGTAGCGGTGTGCGCCTGTAATCCAAGCTACTCGGGAGACTGACACAGGAGAATCACTTGAATCTGGGAGACAGAGGTTGCAGTGAGCCGAGAGCACATCACTGCACTGCAGCCTGGGTGACAGAGTGAGACCCCATCTCAAAAATAATAATAAAATAGGACAGGCACAGTGGCTCACACCTGTAATCCCAGCACTTTGGGAGGCCGAGGTGGGTGGATCACTTGAGGTCAGGAGTTCAAGACCAGCCTGACCAACATGGAGAAACCCTGTCTCTACTAAAAATACAAAATTAGCTGGGCATGGTGATGCATGCCTGTAATCCCAGCTACTTGAGAGGCTGAGGCAGGACAATCACTTGAACCTGGGAGGCAGAGGTTGCGGTGAGCCAAGATCGTGCCATTGCACTCTAGCCTGGGCAACAAGAGCAAAACTCCATCTCAAAAATAATAATAATAAAATAAATAAAACTTTAACTTGAAGAAGTGACACCTTTTTCTGATTCTCATAAAAGGTAGTGGTCACCCAGGCTGCCTGGATGTGGAGTAGCCTGGCATCACAGCACTTTCTAGTGGCTTCATGGAGAGAGGGCTGAGAGGCCAGTGTTCTGCTAGAGATGAGCACATCGGTGTGGGGATGCTGGGCTTGAGGCTTCTAGAGACAGAACAGGCAGAGACAGCCAAAGGTCTTGATTGATTCCTGTTTCCCAAGGATTGTTCACGCCAATGCTCCCACTGAAAATAACTAAAAATAAAGAGAGTAAAAATATTTCTAAATCTTCTCAACTTCACCCAAGGCCCAATGAGATGATAAAGAATGACCAAGCCAATGCACGAACCTGAGAAGTAAGCAAGCGTAGACAATGGCTTTTCCTGAGGACACTGGACCGTCCTGGAAAATGAGAGGCGTCAAAGCAAAAACTGCACCAGACAACATTAAACAGGCAAGGACGGCCTTATTCCAGGCTATTGTAGCAGGGGAGAGAGGCCTGAACTCAGTCTGAACTCCACTCCACTGAAACGTAAAGTGGGAGGATCTTCAAGTGCCGATGCCGATGCTGGAAAGTCCTGGAGGAAGTTAGCAGGAGGCTGACCAGCAGGACGAGTTCAGCGCGGTGAGTTCTTCCTGGCTTTGCCAGTGTTCCCTGTGATCAAGCCAGCTGTGTTTGCTAACTGGTGCCAAAGGGGGCTCTTTCTCCCTCGATCTTTACATTTCATAGGTCATTGAGAAAGATAGTCATGGGTTGTAAAACTGACAGGAGGCTTTCTGAAAGACTTGCATCTCAAGCAGACAAAGAAAGAATGGACAAGAACAAGATTTCTAAAGTAACTACTCAAAGAAAAAGGAGGTCAGAGGCCTAGAGTCAGGGAAAAGCCTGTCTAAAGCTTAGCCAGATCAGAACGCAAGGGCCAGCTTGGTCAGAGTCTCACAGGAGACACCTTCATCCG